CTTGCCCCTTTCTTTTGCGTTTAGGCGCCATGGCGGCAGTAAATTTTTTATCCAAATCGACTTCCAAGCAGATTACTATAAGAATCTGAAGGATCGAAGAGGAATTTTCCAAATCGATATCCAAGAAGGATTACCTCGGGTAGGGTCCAAACAAGGATCGAAGAGGAATAAGAGGAGTTGAACAAGGTAGAAAATTTTTACAGGTTGAGCACTGAAAAGTGCTGTTTAAATTTGTTGTAGCTTTAGGTAGTAGTAACACTTCCTTAAGCAAAAAGCAAATAGATCCGCACGGCAAGAGAGCACGATGCGGACTCTGATTCTTCTGCATTCTTTTCAAGTGGTTCTCACGAACCACTTTATCCACATATGTTAACTATGCACATGTTTAGTTCTATCAATAAATCAATTGCACCATTATGTGTGCATCATACGCAGAAGTCCCACACTAGCAAGTAGATCGAATTATAGACCTCCGTGCAGCCTGGGACTCTGCTGCGAGAAGCAACCTTTTAGCACATGTCGCAATTATTCCATTTACATACCAATACATATCGATCACCAACAGGCAACTACTGATTGGTCTGAACGAGTAGTCCAGGCACCTCCTTCATTTATAAACTTATGTAGAATTATGCAGAGTTAGAGTTAAGTTTTCTTGAATAAAGCAACTCATTCAGTATCAAACACTTAAACCGTCCGGGTGTTTTTATGCCATGATGATGACAACATCAACATCAGTAATAAAATAAGTGTTACACATTTCGACAAACAGTTTCGTGTATCGCAAGTGTCGGTTCTTTACATTTCCGTAACAGTGCGAAGCATTTCTCCGCAAAAGAGCACACAGATCGTGCACAAATGGTGTACTATCCCCAACATTTCTCTGAGTCAATTAGCGAAATTGGAAGGTGTAAGCATCGCATCGGAGCCGTTCGAAACGCGATTCGGAAGTATGGTGATGAAGCAACTTTCCAGGACAAGCAAAAATCTGAACGTAAACCGAACCCTGTTGACCGAAATCTGGACCGGAAAATCGCACAAGCTTTCACTCGCAAGAAAAGTGCATCGGTTCGAGACGTGGCTAAAAAAGTGGGATCCTCGAAGAGTAACGTCCAGCGGGCCAAGGCAAGAATGAGTCTAAACGGTCTAAACACATATAATAAGCAGAAGAAGCCAAAGCGGAGTGGAAAACCAGCCACATCCGTCAAACCGAGGGCTCGGAAGTTATACGACCAATTTCTATGCGGAAAATCGATGTGCGTGATTATGGTCGATGAATCATACGTTACATTTGATTACAAAAATCTCCCTGGTGATCAGTACCATACCTCTCACGTCAAAGTCACGAGTTCAAATCTCACCCCCAGACAAGTCACGAATGACCCAAGAGCGTTAAAGTGACTATAATAAAAAAAAAAAGTAGTACACCGGTCGTGATGGTTGAAGTGTTGAGGACACGGAAAAGTCGATTTTTATCGAAACATTTGGTAAAAGGCTATGGTTTGGCAAGCCATTTGTGCATGTGGTATGCTTTCCAAACCATTTGTGACAACGGAGACAATGACAAACCTGGTATAAAGACAACAAGGTCCAATTCGTACTCAAGGAGATGAATCCGCCAAACTGAACCCAAGCCAGGCTAATGGAACCTTTTGTGCCCTGACCAAAGCATATTTACGGAAACATGTAAAGGCATCAGATTCCGTTACAAAGTTTGCGAAAGACAAGAAAAGTATCCAACATTGTTGGAAAGTCATCTGTGCTGAAGCTAATCAGTAGCGTTAGCGTTAGCGTTGTTATGATATACTTCGTAGATTGGACACGATCTTCTGAAATTTTCTGTTAGACTACTTTCAGGAATAATGCTGGGGAGTAAACATTGGTAACAATCTAAACCCATGATTTTCTGCTCAGTAAGCAAAAACGATCGCTCCAGGATCATCGAGCATCTCAAAACCATAACGCTTTGCGACAGTACAGGACTACGTTTTCGCTTGATATGCAAATAGTTTCCGAGGTTAATGTGGCGGTTTATTGGGCTGTGGAAGAGCTTGGGGTTAAATGCATGATTTTCTGCTCAGTAAGCAAAATCGATCCCTCCAGGGTCATCGAGCATCTCATAATCCACAGCACTTCGCGTCAAAGTACGAATATATGGATGAACTATCTATTATTGAATAACTATTATTTACTATAATTACATGACAGAAATAAAATATCAACTACAAACAAAACGTGACTTCTAAAATCTCAAAAAGATATTCTCACAAATATATTTCACGCAACCAGGAATCTCAAAACCATTAGACGCTACAATGATACTCTGCACATGTTAGACACAATAAGAGGCCAAAAAGCAAGCGTCCGACACACAAAACCCGCCAAATCCACTTGCAGTCACAATCAATGATTCTACGAATCGCGAGCGCTCACGAATGATAAAAACCGCTGACTGCGACACTCTGAAAGCGAAATTGACAGGCTCTATACGCCAAACACCCGCCCGCAGCCGATTTCATCATGGAAGTTCTATTAACAACCAAGATTTAATCGTTTAAGGCATACTGAAGCATTAAGATGGTGATATGTGTAACTATAGGAAATCATCATCGTTGCAAATATAAAGAAATTAAACATAAACCTTTGCTTCAGTTCCGTCAACCTCCATGTCCTTGGGGAGGGCTGAAGCTAATCAGTAGCGAAATAAAAATCGAATTTGCTGTAAACAGCGTTACGTTGTCGTTTTTTTCAAAATCATGCTTAGACATTCTGGGACACCCTATATCATCTATAACATCTCTGGTGCTTTTCCACCACCACTATCGGCATGTAAATTAATTTCCCACATTCCAGCAGGCAGACAATCTGATGTGCAGAAAAAAAAAACAAATCTGCGTCCACAAAGTCCAAAAACACCGGACCAACCAGCCACAATCGGGACAACTGCAAGAATGCCAATTCCGACGTAATAAATTCATGTGAAAATGGGAAAACAGAATGAAAAATAGAGCAATAATAATTGCTGTAAATAAAACCGGTCCTTGCTGTTGCTGCACGCCGTTCCGTACCTACGGGGAAACTATGGAGGAGTAACGGCAGTGAAAAAGTGTGGACGGTAAAAAGAATTGTAGGAGTGCTGGTATGGATTCGCAAAATAAAAAAATATCATGGGTTCTGTAGTAACTAGCCTAGATGCAGTGTGTTGTGAAAATATACGCCCGATCGTTGACTGGGACACTGCAATTTCATGGGCCAGGAAAAAAAATTGCTTGTATGGAATAATTTTTATAAATTGGGGGAAAATGTGCATTCTGCTCAGCTATTCAGAACCTTTACATGTAGGGAGGCGACAGCCGGCGCCGGTGATGTAGTGGTAAGCGTGACTGCTTTCGCACCCAAATGGGTCTGGGTTCAATGCCAGCCGAGGTCGGAGGTCTGGTCACGTCTTCCTTCGGAAGGGAATGGGTTTGAATGGGTGCGATATCCTACGCAGGTGTGGAAGCTGCCTTCCTGCACCTTCGACTGCCGTCAATGCATGGCAATCAATGTCCGTCGGTGATATTGGCACTAGATTGCGGAGCAGAGACCGACGTTATGTAAAGGAAAGAAGGGAGGCGATGCAGTGTAGGGGAAAATTGAAACCTGAGAGATTAGCAGGGGGTTTTTAATGCAATCGTTTATTTGTTGGTCAAGTTGAACTCTATGTAGGGGAAATGACGGCTTCGGCATGCCAGACTATTTTCGGCAACCCAAATTGAAACACTATTTTCACTGGATTTTCTTACGAAAACACTTCGCTGAATGCATGCAAACGATTCTTTATGTTTTCAGCTTCAATTTGACTATATTTTTACCACTAAGAAAAAGCAATCTAGCAAGGTTTTCTTGAAATGAAACACACGCACTACAAATTGTAGCTGATTTCGAGTTGCCGATAATAGAACAGCAGATTTACGTGTAGTTCAAATGGAACGGTTGCCGAAGAAAAACTGGTTGCCGACAATACTCGCTCTCACTAGAGAAGATTGGAGCTTTGTAAAAGCGTTTCAAAACAGTTTTTGACAATTCTTTCGACTGAAATTGTTAGAGCAGCTGGCAGCAAAAGATTGTAAACAAACCAATACTGCATATGTGTGCGTTCCATAGAGAAAAAGGCTATAGAAAGAAGGTCGCTGCTTAGGTTGCTGAGAATACGTAAATTCCCCTATTTCCAAATAATTTGGGCCATGCATTCGTAATGTATAAAGAAATTCAGTTGTTAAATCATAACAATCAATATCCGGATATCCGGAAAAAATACTGGAATTGCGGATTTCCGGATTTAAATTGATAGCGTCCCTAATAAAAATTGTATGGTTAATTTGCTTAACGACGTGTTCTGAGTATCATCCAAACCATTTGTTGAATAATTCGATGATTTGGGTTATCGTTCGTTTATGGTTATTTTTTATTAGGGGTGCCGTGTTGAGATTATCATAATATTATCATGATTCTCAACTTGAGAAATATTATAATTATGAAATAATTATAAGCAAGAAAAAACATTTTTATCAATTAATTTCCATATTAAATCGATGCGTGAGACAAACAAGCATATTTGAAGCTGAAAATTTTAAATCAAGATCCTTAATTCTATTATTTCACGCGTTCTCCGCACTTGCACATGTAACTAAATTTATTTTTCGGTCGTTTTTGTTTTGTTTTGGAATACTCTTCTCGCCTAGGTCATAAACGAAAATCGCTTGCGGGTTGATATCACCCAGTTAAGTGCGAGCGGAAATTGTGCTTTTGGCAAAAAGATCCAGATGAAGAAATTGATACAGTATAAATGGCTTGTGGCTGATGCAGTAGAGCATCATTCGATTGCGATCGTTCACCGGATTTGGTAGTGCAAAAAATTGGTACAACTGAGACTAATATGAAGGTTTGTGTGATCAGAAGAAGTGATTGTGATTGTTCAGTGAATTAATTGTATGATTTTCTTTCTGTTTTTTCAATAGAAATTTGTTGTTTTATCAATGGCTCTGGCCATTGCGTTGGGAGCAGCGATCGAAAACCCGACCAAGGAAGTGGATACCGAAAAAGAAGCTGAAGCCAACGAGGAGACCAAACAGCAGGAGAAACGTGGTCTTAGTGATTATGGTCATGGATTTTCGCATCATCAAGAAATGTTAAGTGAATTCCGACCAGCTTATAGATTCGAAGCTCCAGCAAGCTTAGATGATTTGAAAAACTTTAATAATCATGCTCACCAGCACATGACCTACGACTGGAGGGATGAGAAGCATACTATGATCACCAAGAAGGTTCCAGTTCCTTACAAGGTTGAAATTGAGAAGCACACCATCACCGAAAAGAAGGTGCCTGTCCATGTAGACCGCCCAGTGCCATACCGTGTTGAAGTTGAGCGCAAGGTTCCAGTCTACATTGAGAAGAAGGTTCCAGTGCATGTGGATCGTCCAGTTCCATACCCAGTCAAAGTGCCGTATCCAGTTGAGGTCGAAAAGAAAGTCCCTTTCTACGTAGAAAAGAAGGTTCATGTTGATCGTCCCGTCCCATATCCCGTCGAAGTGGAAAAGAAAGTTTCAGTCTTCGTTGAAAAGAAGGTTCCCGTCCATGTCAACCGTTACGTCCCATACCCCGTGGAAGTCAAGGTTCCAGTAGTCCACAAAGTCCATGTGGAAGTGCCGAAACCATACGCGGTCCATGTCTCGAAACCATTTCCGGTGTACATCGAGAAGGAAGTCGTCAAACACGTTGATCGTCCAGTGCACGTAGAAGTTGAGAAGAAGGTTCCAGTCACGCATGTCCACAAGGTTGAAGTCCCAAAACCCTTTGCTGATATTATTGAGAAACCAGTGCTGCTTGAAAAGCATCATCATCATCATCATCATGATTACCAAAAGAATCAAGACAGTCACAAACATGTTCAGCAAAATTCAGCTGCACTGAAGTTGACTGGATACTCTTCTGAACCTGCTCATGATGGTCACCACAATGAGCATAATCACCACCAAGCTGAAGAACAGCATTACCAGATCCAGCATTCGTCTGTTCCGGTTCCTGAACAATTGGTTCAGCACAAGGATGAGCACGATGATAGCGAAGAACAGCGTCGTAATGTCCATCATCACCATCATCATCATCATCACCATTACGAGGATCAGCGCCATCACGATGATGACCATCATGACCGTCTCGAGCAAGCATTCCGTCATCATCAAGAGCACCAATTTGAGCAACAACAGTATGAACAACAGCTTCATGTTTCTGGCCATCACAAGCGTGAAACCCAGCTGTAGAAAAAATACTTCTTATGATGTTTGCATCATTGATGCGAATCCCTCAATCTCTAGTCTAGTGTCGCAAAAATGGAACTGAATTGTACACTCAGAATGATCTTGTTAAGTTTGATAATTATAATTACTTTTGAGAATCAACCTGCATGTTGTTTGTTCTTTTATCTGGAATTTAAAATCAAAGGTTAAACGATGTGTTTGAAGAATGAAGGGTTGTACATTTTATTTCCAGCATTCAGGTTTGAATTTATTTTTATAAAAGCATTATGATATTTTAAAAAATTTTAAATGGAGTTAGTTTTGGTTAAACTTATTGGATACCAATTTATTATTTACACGTATTCTAAACAAGTAAAAATTTTCAGTGTTTTCAATTTATTTAATCAAACAAAAACAAAAAAAAAGGGATTTTTCAATGTTCTAATCCATTCAGACTATCCTGCTGCTGAATTCCGGGCATTAATTTCATTGACAAGAAAGATATTTATGCATATTAGATATATGTAGAAATTTTTATCTCTTCGTTGAAATTTATGCCTGGAATTCAGCTACTGGAGTGCTAATTCTTAACAATATATCTAAATCACCAAGACCGGGTTTATCCTATGAAGAATGTACAAAAAATTCCATACAATCTAGATTCATCATTCAAGATTCGATCAGATTCAATTAACTGGAAACGTTTGAATACTTTCTTAACAAACTACTGTCTTGATAGAATATTTGAATTTTTAAGCAGTTGGAGATCCTCAGAACTTGATGAACCTGAAGTCTTGGAAAAATATCCAGAGAACTTTACTTATATCTTCGTCTATATGGAGATCTTTTGAATATTTCTTGCTGTCTAGGAAGGATGTCAGAAAGAATATCATGTATCTCATGCAACGTTTCTTCAACATCTACAAAACTCCCTTAACCCTCCGTTACCAATCGATATGAAACCAACGGATATTCCTTTAAAAAAAAACTTGTTTTAACTTAACAAGCCAAACTTTTATCACAGTTAACCCACAAAAAAAATGCGAATAATAGAGAAAATGTGAATGGAAACCGCGTTAACGGTGTCCGTACTACCGCATGCGTGATAATGTTTGCACCATCGTACAAATAAGGTGCCCGTTTCACCTGTGCATTCAATGCCTTGGTTTTCTTTGCATGCACGTAACCTATAGCTCATACCGTAGTAGGCTGTGTATAAAAGACAATGATTTACTTAGTTTGACAGTTGCACCATGACGAAGTGGCAGCGTATTCGTGATTTGTACCACGCGCAAATGTCGCAAAAAGACATTTCAATCGCCGTGGGAGTGTCCCGGTGGACCGTCAAAAGGGTTTTAGAACGAGAAAAGAAAGGACAACTATCCGCGAAGGTGGCCACAGGTCGTCGGAGGTCAGCTCTGGTTCCAAGGATTATCGCTGCTATCAAAAGGAAGATTCGGGTGAATCCAGGGCGTTCAATAAGGAAAATGGCAAAGGAACACGGGATCAGTGACTTTAATCCGGTGGTAAAAAATCCGGCAATCCTGTTCACCGACGAGAGCATGTTTACCGTCGATCCCGTATCAAATTCCAGAACCGTTCTTTTCCGGTAAAAGACGTGGCCGACGAGCACAAGAACGTGTATCTGACCAAGCATCCTGCTAGCGTTATGGTGTTTGGATTGGTGGCTTCCGATGGCAAAAACATGGACCCGGTGTTCATTCCAGAAGGCGACAAGGTCAACACGGAGGTCTACATCGGGATTTTAAGTAAGTATGTTCTTCCGTGGATCAAAGAACAGTACGGTACGAAGCCAAATGTTGTATTTCACCAAGATGGGGCTCCGTGCCACACCTCGAACCGCACTCAGAAGTGGTTGCAGGAACATCTTCCGTTCTGGGCGAAGGATATGTGGCCGCCATCCAGCCCCGATCTTAATCCGCTGGATGACTCAATATGGCGCGTCATGAACGCCAAGGCCTGTTCTAAACGCCACCCGAGTACAGCAAGCCTCAGACAAACACACCAGATAGAAAGTTACTGTCGTCGACAAAGTTGTTGATAAGATCAAAGCCTATTTCTTGATGCACAATAGTTCAAAATTTTCTCAATACGCGGCGCTGTTACACGTGAAATTCTCATAAAAATATCTCGAGATTCTGACCAGATAGAAAGTTACTGTCTTCGACAAACTTGTTCAGGAGGTCAAGTATTTTTGGCTGGTGAACAGTAGTTCAGAATTTTCTCACTACGCAGCGCTAGAACACACGTGAAATTCTCATATAAAATATCTCGAGATCCTGACTAGAGAGAAAGTTACTATCTTAGGCAAAGCTGTACAGGAGATCATAGCCTTTTGCTGGTGAACAGAAGTTCAGAATTTTCTCACTAGATGGTGCTCGTATACATGTTAAGTTCTCGCATGTGATACATCAATAGATCCTGACCAGATAGAGAGCAAATGTCTTTGGCAAAGTCTTCGACAAAGTTGTTCAGGAGGTCAAAGCCTATTGCTTGGTGTGGCGCTAGTATACAAAAAAAAAAAAAAAAAATCAGCTTGACCGCCCACGGTTGCTGCTCTGTTATTACCAGATCAACTGCAATTACACAGAGAACCAACAGATGATGTTTGGGACTAACATTCATCCTCAATGTGTAAGAACTGGAGATCTAATATTTAGCAATACCAGCGCCGGCCGTGTCCGAATGCAGGTCAACTAGGGAATGGGAAGGAATGTGTTGACGTGGTACTCGCTGTGAAGGAAACCGAGAAATCCTCTGCGCTTCCACGAGAAACCACTGGGATGTTGGATGTGGGGAAAGGTTGCACGCACACGCAGGGATCGTTTTTTGGTAGAGCGATTATAATACACAAACACACACACACACACACACACACACACACACACACACACACACACACACACACGCGCGCACTCATCCAATTTCTATTTTTAGATCCAGGACCCACACTGTGGTAAGTGATGCGATCGGTGTTAAAGAAGAATTTATTTTCATTAAAATCTAGTGGGTATAGAATAAGACAAAGTGAAAAATTGCAAGGAAGGGGACGGCCCTGGGATTGAACTCCCGACCTTCTGCTCAGTAAGCAGAAACGGTAACCACTGAGCTACCGAGCCTCGTCGCTTGGTGTGGCGCTAGTATACACGTGAAATTTTCTCCTATAAAATATCACGAGATCCTGACCAAATAGAATGTTACTGTCTTGGGCAAAGTTGTTCAGGGAGCCAAGGTCTTTTGGCTGGTGGACAGAAATTATTTTTTTTTTCACATCATTGCGCTTGTATACACGTGCAATTCTCGCATTAGATATATTTCGAGACCTGCTAAACTGTCATCGGCAAAGTTTCCCTGGAGATCAAAACTTTTTCGATGGTCAACAGTGCAGAATTTTCTCACTACGCAGCGCTAGGATATACGTGAAATCTTCGCAAACATAATATCTCGAGATCCTGAACAGCTAGAAATTTAATGTATTTGGCAAAGCTGTTAAGGAGATAAAGATCTTTTGGCTGATGAACAGTAGTTCAGAAATTTTTCAAAACTTGGCGGGCAATTCTCGCATATCAAATATCATAAAAAAAAATGCAATTTACATCAGCCTAAGTGGGATAAGACAAATATATTCTGGATTTCTTATACTGGGCAAGATTTTCATGAAGATTTGTGGATACATAAATTGGGGTGAGTCGTTCCACTTGTATACCTTAGATAAATTAGTGGTAACACGTATCTCAGATGGAAAACATTATCTTAAAAGATCAATATTGCTGAAACTTCCACCAAATGAATGTTTAGATTCTCTCTTTCATTTAAAGCTTATTTCAAAATGTCTTATCGAGTGGTCTAGAACAAAAAAAAACCCTGTATTAACGTGTGCACGGACAACGAGACTAACCCAGAGAGTGAGGCACTTTTGCTCGGTTGAATGGAGAAATTTATAAAACCGTGCACTCCCGATCATAAGTTTAAGGACACGCCCTAAAAACGTCCAATTTTCGTTGGCTTAGAACATTTTAAAGATTTTGAATGGAAATACGAAGAGGCAAATTGCTCAATATAATTTTCAAATTTTGTATTGGTTGTTGCAGTGGTGACTGGATTTTTGGGAATATTACGAAATAACACGAAAAACAACGAACTTTTTGATTATTTCACGCCTAGAACGCTATTGAGTTTAACACATTTGGAAACAAAAAAGGTGTACCATTCGAATTTAAACACGTCTCAAAATCATTTTCCATCTAATTCATACTTAGAAAACCATATAATTGTTCACAAATAAGTAATTTAGAATTCAGAGTTGGTTGGAAATGCTAACATGAAGCCTTAGTGTGATGATTTATTAGCTAGAGAATGATCTTTTAGAAGAATGTAGGTGGATAGTTCCGTTAGAGTACGGCAGTATGAAAATTGAATAGAAGTTGAAAATGAGCGAAGGGCCATTAAAGCGACAGTTTTCAAGATGACGCACATTTTTGCCTAGCCCGTACGATGTACGCGGGGACTTGAAGTATGTCTCCAAGTCTCGTACGGGCTAGGCAAAAATGTGCGTCATCTTGAAAACTGTCGCTTTAATGGCCCTTCGCTCATTTTCAACTTCTATTCAATTTTCATACTGCCGTACTCTAACGGAACTATCCACCTACATTCTTCTAAAAGATCATTCTCTAGCTAATAAATCATCACACTAAGGCTTCATGTTAGCATTTCCAACCAACTCTGAAAATCGTTAACTTCGCGTATGAAGTAACATAAAAAACACTTTGAATGTAACAACTCAAGGCGGGAGTAGCCGTCAACAATGCTGATGATGGTACAGCACGCAACAACCACCCTACTGCTGAGCGGTTCCATATCATTAAAGCAACGAGTAATTTTCATCTTTTTTGATTTGCATGAAACCTTGCATACAAGTTTTTGGGGGAAAAAAACGCCGTTTTGCATACTTGGTTCGCCATTTTGAATCTAGCCTTACTTATGAGAAGGGCCTATGAAAAATG